TTGAGACTGAGAGGTAGATGTGTTATTCGTCGCCACTTTTGCCATTGTATCATCATTAATGGCTTCGTAACAAACTGGCAGAATTAATCAAGATACCTATGCCTTTTTATTGTAAAAGAAAGAATAAATGGAAAGTGTCAAAAAACGGTAAAATTACTTACCGTACCGTAAAATGGGGCGATTAGGGACAAATTCCAACTTTATGAGCAATTTTAAGGTAGTTGTTGATGTATACAATGCTATATCAGGATCAAAATGATTGAGTCTTGGGGGCATCTTTGTTGTCTAATTTAAAATTATGCAACTAGATTTCCAGTTTAAGCAAAAAATGCAAAAATAGGTGTAATCCCTATTTACCCGAAAATTGCGGTTAATTGGGACGAAATGAGAAATTTGCTAGGGTTGGCACTACTTTTATTTTTATATATAGTTTTAATTTATTTATTTATTTAGTTGCACCAACAAAGTGATCATCAATAAAAAAAATTGAAAAACTGACAAAAGTACATGGCAGACATCACCTCAATTATAGGTGCAATCGACAGTGCTGATATTTCTATCTGGGTTAAGAGATTAGGTGTGTCGGTTATTCCATGGATTAATCAGATGAATACCCCCACTCTGAACAAATATTAAATATTTTATTATGTATTACTTAGACATTTTTGTCCACCTTGAGATTTCATTGATCTTGTTACATGTCTCTGCAAAATCGACTTACTTATATTAAATTGCTTATCTATTTCAACTAAAGACTTATTCCCAATTTCGCTTCGAATAAACCAGATTTTTACCAACAAATTTAAAAAATATTGTTATAACTACATAGACAACCCTACAAACCTGTACCTATTTATACTTAGGTCGTTTCCATTTCACGTATTCTCATCCCAATTGACCCCTTTTTCGTTGTTATTTGTACCTAAGACGTCCCCAATATCCCCAAAAACAACAGATTTTTACATGTATTTTTATTTAATCAAATACATTAAAACCAATAACAACTGAGACTTACCTTTAATATATATGCTGGTTCAAACACTAAATAACGTTTATAAATCATAGTCGTCTTCTATTATTATCAAATAAATAAAAGAGAGCAAAGTTTCTAGCACTAAAATAATTACCACCACAGGAAGTTAATTTGAAACGCGATTTTTTATAAGTTAGCAGCTATTATCATGCATATTCAGAGTTGTTTTGTGAACTTTCAACATTCTACTATTAAACTACAAAAAAATGGAAGATTTTGCAACGAATATAAAACTTATATTGAGCGTCGAAAGATTTTCCCGGTTTTTTCCCGATTCGCCTTTCAATCCCTAATCGCCCCATTTTACCGGTACTTATATTGTTCAAACGAGACTTGTGGAGAGTAGGTACTTATCGGTAGGCAGCGGCTTAGCTCTGCCCCTGAAGTTGCTGATGTCCATGGGCGACGGTAACCGCTCACCGTCAGGTGGGCCGTATGCTCGTCAGCCTACAAGGAAAAAAAAACACGAAATCCAATTTCAATCTCTTTTTTTAATAATGTTTTTCTTAATCGTGTTTTTTGCGTAAATTATCAGACTTGGAAAATTGTGTATTTTAAATTTAGAATAAATATATGGACATTAAAATGGATAGGCATCATGCATTATTATAGTACTAAAAAATAGTTTTTAGTATTTAAACATAAATTGTAAACGATTTCATTAATGTAAATCAAGTTTGCAAGCGCTCTTGCGGTCAGCAGGGTATTGGCATGCGTCAATATCAATGTCAAGCTAATGATCGATTACCACATGCATCTTCCATCTTTATTAGGTATTAGCTGACCCGGCAGACTTCGCAGTGCCTCAGTCGATAAATAAAATACCTAAACTTTTGTATAAAATAGACTTAAAACAAACAAAAGGAATCCGTCCGACGGGGGACACATCAAAGGAAAAACAAAATTGTTATTTTTATTTAATTCCGAACCTTTTAATTTATTTATCTACCTTTTAAACCTTAAACCAAAATTAACCAAATCGGTCCAGCCGTTCTGGAGTTTTAGCGAGACTAACGAACAGCAATTCATTTTTATATATAGATAGATTTACATTAAATAATGCCATGAAGTCATTAGTTGATATTCCATTACATAATCTTTACGCGAATTTATTGCGATTTGTATTAACCGTTGCTACGTTTTTTTTTATGGCTTAGATGGGCGGACGAGCTCACAGCCCACCTGGTTTTAAATGGTTATGGAGCCCATAGACATCTACAACGTAAATGCGCCACCCACCTTGAGATATAAGTTCTAAGATCTCAAGTATAGTTACAAGGGCTGCCCCACCCTTCAAACCGAAACGCATTACTGCTTCACGGCAGAAATAGGCAGGGTGGTGGTACCTACCCGCGCGGACTCACAAGAGGTCCTACCACCGAGTAAGCCTACGTCTTTGTAAGGAAATTTAAAGAAAAAAAAAACACCATAGTAACTCAGTTTTCGACCTTAGATCGGACAAATGTGTTTTTTGAAAACATTAGCACTCTAAAAGGAAAAATTCTATCTATCGCATTGACCCACATTCGTACAAGTTTTAACGTCAACATGTGAATAATGAAAATCTCTAATGCAACGAAATTAGCGAGATTATCCTTACATAGATTCTGTAATAACACTGAGCTATGTGGATCTGGTAAATTTTTTTTTACGAAAGACCGTCTTGTTTGACAATAAAAAAAAACGAGCCAGTGGCTTAGCTAATCTATCACACATGACATGAACAATGAAGATTTATCGCTTCGATAATTATGCTAATTGAGTGTACGTGAGCACTAACGTTAATGTGACATGAGACGAACGCGTGATAACGCTTGAGCCCACATAGACGACCAAAGGAACGTGACAACTTAAAGCTACCGTCTACATTTAACGCCTTTGAAGGCAGACAAATCAGGGTTCACCGTCGCCCGTGGACATCAGCAATGCCAAGGGCACAGGTAGACTGCTAACACACTAGTCGTAGAGTGGTAATACCTACCTTTGCCGTATTACCTACCTTCGTCCTACCAGTCCATATTCCAGTTTAAAGACGGAGGAGAATTGGAGCATATTCAGACTATACAAGTAATATAGCTCAAAGAGATCCATTATTGGGCACTCTGTCTGATGAACTTAAAATATAGCGAAGAATATAAACCTGCTTACTACTGGTGGTAGAACATCTGTGAGGCCACATAGGTAGATACCACTGCACTGACTATTTTAACCGCGAAGTCGTCCTGGGTTGCAGATTGTTATGTTACACAATTGAAACTTACGCTGAGGTCTAAGATGTGCATTTTTTGTTTTTGCGCTGAGTAGTTACTAACAAACGTCAGCAATGGTTCATGCAAGACACAGCCAAGTCGCTGCTTGCTACTTACCACTCCTCTCTAACCTTGAAGAAGGACATGCCTGAAACGCCGCGGGAAGTATTCAATTTCAAAGCCAAGTGGTCCTTGTCGTATTACTCTTATCAGAGCGGTTGTGATCGTCGGCCAGAATTATTGCTGTGGGCAGATGTTATGAGCCTCACAAGCTATCGCTACATCTTTCGATTTATAGTGAGCTTGGTAAAAAAAAAATCCTACCTAAGCTCATAGCCTTGAGAGGCTATTTCAGCGTAGCCTTAACTAGTGCTCACCTACTACCTCACATCAAACCTGACGACGTTGCTAACACGAACCCTAGCAAAAGCCGTGCATCGCAGAATCTACCACCGGATCGGAAACGCGACCCACTGAGAAGATTCGGCTAGAAACTCAGTGGGCAGTGTCTGTGAGTTAATTTATTCGTCGAGCCCTTCGTCGCAAGCGACGGGTTCGACAAGAACGAGGTGCTTGAGGTACCTAAAAGCACCGTTAGTGGATCCGGAGAATCTGAAATGACGTGTTTTGGGCGACGTCGACTGCTTTCCATTTGTCCGCAAGATTGGGAATGTAGTTACTGGCGGCCACGATGAGTGGGTCCTCGTGTCGTGCCGCTTTGTCGAAGTGGCGCATCGATGTCGACTGTAGATACTTACTGATGGACTCTAAGTCCAGGTCATCATGGAGGTCCAGGTCACAGTTTCTTCTTCTTCTTAGCGTTTTTCTAGTCTAATGCCAGGGTCCGCTTTCCTATTCTTGAACTCCTCCACTTTGCAGTTTATTAAAAATAAACAAGACAAGCTCAGATCCCGCTTACATTCGGTACACGTTTCTATAATACTACTCAGTGATAAACAATGTCTTTTTGCATTGCCAATATACAAGGATGATAGGGTACACAGAGAAATAACTCGGTGGAAGATCTTTCCTGAGGAAACTGTTTCCATTTAAATTATTGCTTTTATCTTTATCTATCTCGTGCATTCTTCTCCTTATCATTTATGTGCACCTATATATCATTCTCTGGATAATGACCACCCACCCTTATATAATGACCACTAATGTCAAGAACCGTAAGTGGTCAGTATCCACAGGTTACACTGTTGTATCTAAATCCTTCAATTAATACTGGTTTTAATTATACTTTTACAATTAATACTTTTACTGGTGGTAGGACCTCTTGTGAGTCCGCACGGGTAAGTACCACCACCCCGCCTATTTCTGCCGTGAAGCAGTAATGCGTTTCGGCTTGAAGGGTGGGGCAGCCGTTGTAACTATACTGAGATCTTAGAACTTATATCTCAAGGTGTGTGGCGTATTTACGTTGTAGATGTCTATGGGCTCCAGTAACCACTTAACACCAGGTGGGCTGTGAGCTCGCCCACACATCTAAGCAATAAAAAATATATATATATATATATATTCAGGAACTACAAGACCACGGAGAACGGACCACTCACAATCATAGCACCGTAAAGATGCGAGAGAATTTTCGCTAAAGTGCCACATCGTTTGTTTAATTTTAACAATTATTTCGCGCGTCCTTGACGCCAACAAAGACGTCGCGTCGATATAAAAGTAGTCGTAGCCAAAACTGAAGTTTCATTCGCCGTCCACGTAAGGCGGGAATGTTTTATATTTTACTTAAAAAAAATAATAATTCTGTAACTGCAATTCGAAATAAAGAATGTAAATTTACAAAAACGAACCAAAAGAAGAAAAAAAACCCGCCATAATTTTCGAATACAATTTTTTTTTTTACTTAACGCGCGTCATGTAATTAATAAATCGTACAGCCTAAATTCAAAAAGTTTTCTTTTGAATAAAAAATCAACTAAACATGGATCCGAACTGGACCCACGTTGGACTTCGGTCACCTAACCTCACCAACACTACAGTGAACCTTCAGGAGAACTTCGAGATCGACTTAGAAGATACAAACTGGATTTTGACCTCGTCTTTCATCATCTTCACAATGCAGACTGGTAAGTTAATGCTGGCAGTGTTATTAACAGGGCTGTCGACAAATCCATCACGTTTATGAACTAGAGAGGCGACTTTTTAGTGGGAACACGAGAAGTGAAATTATGTGAATTCTCTTATGATATTAATTTTGTGTTTCTTAAACATGTGATAACAGTGATTTATCAACAGTTTAGCATCTGTGAAAGTGCATGTAGAAAAATGAAACAAAGTCGCTGGACGTAGCTTCTCGGGTTCGTCCGAAAAGTCCACCGAAACAGTAAATAACCGCCATTTTACTGAGATTTTATTATATTTCATTTCGACTCGTTTTATTTAATTTTACATATCTCAATTGCCCAATGTCTCAAATGTCTCAAATTAATAAACTTCACCTCATTTCGTTTCATATCATTTTTCATTTAACAGAACATCTATATATTTACTTACCGAAGATTTTTATAAACTCGATACTGGCAACAATGGCGTCGCAAGAAGCCATTTGCCACACTTAAAAGAAAAAGAAGAACTACAAAGACAATATCATAGGTATTGTGCTTAATCTGAGTTGACAGATTACGATATGAGATTGAATTCTCAATTGTACGGCTTACTAAATTGCACCCCTTTAAAATAGAAGTGGCTTAAATGAAGTTTTTTTTTTTTTTGTAAACGCCAAGAATGCAATTGAAGAATTATAACTTTTCAGTTTTGATTTTGATAATTTAAGCCTTAAAGCGCTTATCTTAAACTTTAAGATATGCGCTTGATTTAAAAGAGACGGATAGTGTCATTTTCCTTACTAAAATTTAAATTTTGAATTTATCACCGTTCTCGTCGAACCCGTGTCGCTTGCGACGATGGGCTCGACGAACGAATTAACCCACAGACACAGCCCACTGTCCAAATTTTACATACCACGACTACTTACATACAAGAGTGATAAAAATATCGTACGTTGTAATTAACGGGCTATGTGTTTCAGGTTTCGGCATGTTGGAATCCGGTTGCGTTTCCATTAAGAACGAGGCCAACATTATGATGAAGAATATGGCTGATATATCGCTCGGGGGTGAGGGAACAACGAATTTATTATTATTGTTATAGATGGGTGGACGAGGTCACAGCGCACCTGGTGTTAAGTGGTTACCGGAGCCCATAAACATTTACAACGTAAATGCGCCACCCACCTTGAGATAAGTTCTAAGGTCTCAAGTATAGTTATAACGGCTGCCCCACCCTATAAACCGAAACGTATTACTGCTTTACGGCAGAAATAGACAGGGTGGTGGTACCTACCCGTGCACACTCACAAGAGGTCTTACCACCACTAACAATAATCGACATCCTAGAAATTTACGCATACGCATAGATATTTCAAAAGATTTCTGTCGCAAAACTTTAGCAACTGGTCTTACTCTACGGCTGGTAGGACGTCTCGTAATTCCGCGCGGGTAGGTACCACCGCCCTGCCTATTTCTACCGTGAAGCAGTAATGCGTTTCGGCTTGAAGGGCGGGACAGCCTGCCGTTATACAGTAAAAACTGAGACTTAGAACTCATTTATCATCAGCGGTGGTATTTACATGGTTGAAGTCTATTGGCTCCAGTAACCAGTCAATACTAGATAGACCGTGAGCTTACCTAGTCAGGTCATAAGTATTGTCACACAGTAAAAACTTTTCTTTTAGAATGCTGGCCACAAAAAAGTTTATTGAATTCGAATTTCGAATTGTTCATGAAAATAAAAATGTATACTTTTAGAATTTTACTCATTTTTAAATATGGAGTGGACGCTTAAAGAAGACCGTGTTGCAGTTATTGCGTTGCATCGTTGCGGTTACGCGCCAATTCAAATTTTTAACATACTGAAAAATTTGAATATAACCAAAAGATTCGTTTATCGTACCATCAAACGATACAATGAAGACTCTAGTGTAGATGACAGGTCAAGAAGTGGTCGCCCTCGGTCTGTTAGGACTCCAGCAGTGATAAAAGCTGTGAAGGCGCGAATTCAAAGAAATCCCAAACGTAAGCAGAAACTGTTGGCCCTTCAGATGGGGTTAAGCAGAACCACGGTGAAAAGGGTGTTAAATGAAGACTTAGGGCTTCGGGCATATCGAAGAAAAACAGGACATCGTTTGAATGCTCGTCTAATGGACCTGAGACTGAAGAGATGCCGCGCTTTGTTGAAGCGGTACGCGGGAAAAAAATATCGGGAAATTCTTTTTTCGGATGAAAAAATTTTTACCGTAGAAGAGAGCTACAACAAACAAAATGATAAGGTGTACGCACACAGTAGTGAAGAAGCGAGCAACCGTATTCCGCGTGTCCAACGAGGTCATTTTCCATCCTCGCTCATGGTATGGTTGGGAGTTTCTTATTGGGGCTTAACAGAGGTACATTTTTGTGAGAAAGGTGTAAAAACGAATGCAGTTGTGTATCAAAATACAGTCCTGACGAACCTTGTGGAACCTGTTTCTCATACCATGTTCAATAACAGGCACTGGGTATTCCAACAAGATTCGGCGCCAGCTCATAGAGCGAAGAGCACACAAGACTGGCTGGCGGCGCGTGAAATCGACTTCATCCGGCACGAAGACTGGCCCTCCTCCAGTCCAGATTTGAATCCGTTAGATTACAAGATATGGCAACACTTGGAGGAAAAGGCGTGCTCAAAGCCTCATCCCAATTTGGAGTCACTCAAGACATCCTTGATTAAGGCAGCCGCCGATATTGACATGGACCTCGTTCGTGCTGCGATAGACGACTGGCCGCGCAGATTGAAGGCCTGTATTCAAAATCACGGAGGTCATTTTGAATAAACTTTAGTGTCATAAGAATCTATGTTTTGTTAAGTTCATTTTGGTATATGAATGGTTACATAATGAATAAACTTGTTTCAATTATTTTACATTAAACATGTGACAGAATTTATGACCTGACTAGGTATTAGCCATCTTAGCAATAAAAAAACCGACATCAACAAAATAAAATGAGTATATCAGTCAGAGTCAGCTGAATATGCATTATTAAGGATAACTCCAGGAGTACTGGTCACTTATTGATAACATTTAAATGGGATCACAGGATAATCAGCACTATCATCAAAATCAGTTCACCAGAAAATGTTTCGAAGTAAAACACTCAATAAAATACCGTCGAATTGAGAAGCTCCTCCTTTTTTTTAAGTCGGTCAAAAATACACGAAGATTTGGATGCCCTGGACTCTGGTACAAGGCTGCAGCAAATTCAAAATACGATAATCTCAGCACGGATAAGATGGGAATGGATTAGGAATGGGCAGACTTTGAAAGCACAAATGTTTAACGGTGCTTTTAGGCACCACAAGCACCGGTCACCGTCCTCGTCGAACCCGTCGCCTGCGACTAAGGGCTCGATGAGCGAATTAATCCATAGACACAGCCCACTGAGTTTCTCGCCGGATCTTCTCAGTGGGTCGCGTTTCCGATCCGGTGGTAGATTCTGCGAAGCACTGCTCTTGCTAGGATCATTGTTAGCAACACTCCGGTTTGAGGCCCGTAAGCTCACACACACGTTAGGGCGAAGGCTGAAATAGCCTCTCAAGGATATGAGCATAGGAAATGCTAATTGTCAATTAACCCCCCAGGTCTCACCTACTGGATATTCGGTTACGGGCTCTCATTCGGCCAGAGCTCCTACTCCAATCCGTTCGTTGGTACTGGAGACTTCCTACTTGACCCTCCAGTGGGAGACGCGCTGATGGGTCCAGTGTTCGCTTCGTTTCTCTTCCAGCTGTCCTTCGCCACCACTGCGACTACTATTGTCAGTGGCGCGATGGCTGAACGGTAAGTAGGATAAATCGCGAGCAACTCCGAGACGTTACTGTCAGTGTTAATGTTACGTTACGAATTAAGCAACGGAAACTATTTACGTTTGCAAAGACCACAACGTGATTTCAATGTATTTGTATATTCTGATGCTCCCAAAAGCTTTTATTGTTTTTAGAATATATTTTTTTGTTTGGATAGATGGGTCAACCAGCTGGTGTTAAGCACACCTGGTGTTAAATGGTTACTGCAGCCCATAGACATCTACAAGGTAAATGCGCGACCCATCTTGAGATATAAGTTCTAAGGTCTCAAGTATAGTTACAACGGCTGCCCCACCCTTCAAACGGAAACGCTTTACTGCTTCACGGCAAAAATAGGGGGGGTGGTGGTACCTACCCGTGCGGTCTCACAAGAGGTCCTACCAGCAGTAAAGCAACAAAAAACCCGACATCAACAAAATAAAATGAGTATATCAGTCAGAGTCAGCTGAATATGGATTATTAAGGATAACTCCAAAAGTACTGATCACTTATTGATAACATTTAAACGGTATCACAGGAGAATCAGCACTATCATTAAAACCAATTCACCTAGACAGTGTTTCGAAGTAAAACACACAATAAAATACCGTGGAATTGAGAAGTTCCTACTACCCGCGCGGACTCACAAGAGATCCTACCACGTATTAATATATAGATTATCGTCTGCAGGTGTAACTTCAAAGCGTACTGCGTTTTCTCGTTTCTGAATACGATCGTATACTGCGTCCCAGCCGGCTGGGTGTGGGGCTCGCATGGCTTCCTCAACCAGCTCGGTGCTGTGGACATCGCCGGCTCCGGACCTGTGCACCTTGTGGGTGAGTACTGAAGACTACGTCATTTCGGAGCCGCCCGATCCACTAACGGTGCTTTTAGGTACCACAAGCACCGGTCATCAGTCTCGTCGAAACCGTCGCTTGCGACGAAGGGCACGTCGAGTAAATTAACCCACAGACACAGCCCGCTGAGTTTCTCGCCGGATCTTCTTAGTCGCGTTTCCGATCCGGTGGTAGATTCTGCGAAGCACGGCTCTTGCAAAGGTTCGTGTTAGCAACGTCGTCAGGTTTGAGCCCCGTGAGCTCACCTACTAGTTAAGATTACTCTGAAATAGCCTCTCAAGGCTATCATCAGCTTTGGTAGGAAAAAAATAATAATCTGAAGACGTATAACACAATTTGGTAGGCAGCGGCTTGGCTCTGCCCCTGGCATTGCTGAAGTCCATGGGTGAAGGTAACCACTCACCATCAGGTGGGCCGTATGCTCGTCTGCCTACAAGGGCAATAAAAAAAAAACTTCAACCAGTTAGTATCAATGTTCAACTTCAACCATATGGTAATTGATTCTGTTTTTGTCAGAACGCTACACGTTAGCTAAAGAGATTGCTTTTATTAAGGCAGATAGGCAGACTAACTGATGTTAAGCGTTGGAATTTCATAGGAGAGAGACTGAACCAACATTAATACTGAAACGCATTGCTTCATGACAGATTGGATTTTTTTAATTGCTTAGTTGGGTGGACGAGCTCACAGCCTACCTGGTGTTAAGTGGTTACCGGAGTCCATAGACATCTACAACGTAAATACTGCCACCCACCTTGAGACAGGAGTTCTAAGGTCTCACTTTTAACAGCACAACTGCTGCGCCGCCCTTCAAACCGAAACGCATTACTGCTTCACGACTGAAATAAGCAGGGTGGTGGTACCTACCCGCACGAACTCACAAGACGACCTACCACCAGTATACATTGCAGAATTGCGAGCTTCCAGTTTTTTCCAAACCACCTATAGATAAAATCATGAGGTTTGCGTATAAAAGAATAAGAGGAAGCTACACGTTTCTTCTAATCAACACACTAATGATAACAGATTATTACAATTATAATCCACTGACAAAAAACGTAACACGTGTATTGTTTAGCTAATTGACAGTGTCAATTGTGATTAGCCAAAGCATTAGTTAAGAAGAACAGATCCTAACTTTATCAATCGGAACAAAAACAGGGGGATCGTCAGCGTTTGCGTCAGCTTTGATGCTGGGACCGAGACTGGGCAGGTATGCCCGGGGCACGGACCCTTTACCCCTCGGCAACCCGGTCAACGCCGCCATGGGAACATTCGTGCTTTGGTGGGGATGGTTGGCTTTCAATTCCGGCAGCACATATGGGGTGAGTTCAAAAGGCAGGAGTTCTTGTGACTCTTTTTTTTTCATTGCTTAGATGGGTGGACGAGCTCACAGCTCACCTGGTGTTAAGTGGTTACTGAAGCCCATAGATATCTACAACGTAAATGCGCCACCCCTCTTGAGATATAGGTTCTAATATCTCAGTATAGTTACAACGGCTTCCCTAACCTTCAGACCGAAACTCATTACTAAAAAAGGCATTTAGTATTCTTAAAACGGTCATGCGGTTATGGTCAGAGTCGACTCTATCTTCCGCCTGCTGATCAGAAGAAACTCTTAGTTTGAACTGGGTATTTCCTACCCTCCTTTTTTTTTCTTTTTTTTTTTTTCTTTCCTACCCTCCTACTACTAAGCTTTTTTTTATGACTGAAGGATTACTGGTGGCCCGGAGGCCTTTCCAGTTTCACCAGAACAGGTGGGCGAGCAAAGGCTCAGCCAGGAGGGTGGGATTTTCTAACAACTACCCGAGCGCCTCGGAAGGAGACCTAACAGCTCAAGAGAAACTCAGCGAGCTGATTCATGGGTTAGGTTGCACGGCGAACTCTTTGTCGAGTTCGACGAGTACGGTTACCGGGGTCCCTAAGCCTGCTCCTAGTGTTAGAGCTGAAGGCGTCTAATGCAAAGGTTATTGGATCTGATGGATCCGTAAGGACGTGACTACTAAGCTTTTGGCTTACGTGAAACTTCGAAAAAAAAAAACGTCATTGATTTAGACGACACGCTATCCCAAGGTCAGTCCGATTGCGATTCCAAATTCGCAAACCATCAATCAACCTGGTGTTACTTATGCGATTTTCAATTTAATATAATATAAGTTTTAAATTCCATAAACGTAGTTCGTGCTTTGACAATAAATTTATGGCTGCCTCAGATTAAGCTGCGCACTAGCACTTAGAATATGAAGTTGGATTTATTGGAATTTTGGTAGACAAAAATACGTGCAACGGTGTTCGAATCCCGCAGGCGGGTACCAATTTTTCTAATGAAATATACGTACTTAACAAATGTTCACGTTTGACTTTCGCGGTGAAAGAATAACATCGTGTAATAAAAATCAAACCCACAAAATTAAAATTTGCGTAATTACTGGTGGGTAGGACCGCTTGTGAGTCCGCGCGGGTAGGTATTATACCGCCGCCTGCCTATTTCTGCGTGAAGCACTAATGCGTTTCGGTTTGAAGGGCGGGGCAGCCGTTGTAACTATACTTGAGACCTTAGAACTTATATCTCAAGGTGGGTGGCGCATTTATGTTATAGATGTCTATGGGCTCCAGTAGCCACAAAACTCCAGGTGGGCTGTGAGCTCGTCCACCAATCAAAGCAATGAAAAAAGTGTCTTTTAACAGCACCAAATCGTGGACTAAATGATAAGACGTCCGGTGCACTCGTACTGAGCGATGCAACAGTGTCGGTGTTCGAATCCCGCAAACAGATTCTGAATATTAATAATAAAATACTTAAAAGTACATATACATATTCACGAATGACTTCCACGGTGAAAGAATAAAATCGTGTAGTAAAAATCAAACCCAGGGATTTTTTTTTTATTTTGCTTAATCACTGGTCAAGTCCTGCGGTAACCGTACCGTGCAACCTAACTTAAACATCAGCCCGCTGAGTTTCTCGCCGGATCTTCTCAGCGCGTCGCGATTCAGATCCGGTAGATTCATTCGCGAAGCAGCTGCTCTTGAGTTGTTAGGGGTCCTTTGGAGGCGCTCGGGCAGCTGTTAACAAATCCCACCCCTCCTGGCTGAGCCTTTTCTCGCCTACCTGTCCTGGTGAAGCTGCAAAGGCCTCCGGACTACAAGTAATCCCTCAATCCAAAAAAAAACCCGCATTGGCAGATACCAGATATATGTAAATCAGGTATTATTAGTTGAAATTGCTTTTGACAAAGCAAAACGAATGGACGTCACGTGTTTGTCTCAACAGATAATAAATTTCACGATGGAGGTCACGCGAGGCGTACGACTGAGCCAGTGAGTAAGGGACGTATTAGGTTGGATGAAACTTTGTTAAATTTTCGCGTTTCAATTTAGAAATATTTTTAAAAAGCTTATACGGGAAAAATTTATTCGATTTGTTTATTTATTTTTAACAACAAATTCGAGGTTCTAAAGATTTCTGCAATATAGAATCACGGGATGCAAATTTAGGAAGTTAACCTTAAAATAGAACGCTTTATTTCCCGCCAAAACAGAAATGTCAAAAACACACAAAATGTTTCATTTCGATTTTTATCGATTATTTAGTATTCAAGTACATCCCAGTACACAACTGAATGGATAATGTGAATCTACTTACAGAGTCAATTAGTTTGAAAACGAATTGTTCAGAATACATTGTCCATTCGTACTTAAATGATTTCAATGCGGCCATTTTGTCGACCAGACTATTAGATATTAAGTAAAATGGCCGGCAATTTGTAACGTAATTGTTTTTTTTAAACTGCACGTCACTAACCACAATGGTTTGTTTTAGATACAATGTTATTTTACTTCCTTCTTGTAGTTTAGTTTTATTGAAGCGACACGAATTGGCCATTAAATTTGATAAGCTAGTGGTTCGTTGATTTTGAAGATAAAGATAAATATGCCTTTATTAACAACCTTAATTCATATTTAGGTACATACTATTCTTTTTTTTTCTTTTAATTTGACATCGGCTAAGATTGTTTTGCTTTCGCATAGGCCTCCCCCAAATCCTGCCATAAGCTCCGGTCGTGGCATTTCCTCTTCCACGTAGAGCCTGCAACGGCTTTTATATCGTCTACCCACCTTTGGAACGGTCGTCCTTTTAATCTTTTCCCCTCTCGAGGGTACCATTCAGTTACTAATTTAGCCCATTTTTCTGTTTTGCTTATTATTAAATGACCTATCCATTTCCACTTTAATTTTTCAATTGTGTATGATACATCCGCTACTTTTTTTTGAAGATACGACTGAATTATTAGATAACGTATTACAGGCGTTCACGAAGTCAAAAATGGAATGAAGTACTAGCGTAGTTCATGTCATTTTACGGGCATTGTCATTATGTTAATTGACAGCTAGTTCCCTCGACGTCACTGTCAATGTCTCGAATAAATTGACGTTTTAATCGTGCCTGTAATGCAAACGATATTAGCTTATACTGACTCGGTGACGCAGTAGTTATCGGCCCTGACTGTTGAGCCAAGGGTCGTGGGTTCGAATCCCACATCGGACAAACGTCCTAGCTCATTTTATCCTTTCCCTCTCTGCACAATCGACAAGTTTGCGAGACGTTGTCTATTTTCTCACTCTAACTCTTCCTAAATTGTATCTTTTCTCTCTAGCCGAAACGAATCTGTCGCGAGTTAAATTTTATTCTCAACACGCATAAAGAAGTTTCACTTCAAAAAGCTCCTGACTGTTTTGTTCTTTATCTCAAATACAGCCTATATCATTAAGTGCATTATGGTCTACATTGCATTGTGTAGGTGAGCGGTGCCAAGTGGCAGTACGCAGCGAGAGCGGCCGTCATGACCATGATGGGTTCTTTTGGTGGTGGATGCTTCGGTCTACTGTAAGTTATTTGTCTTCATAAAAACATTTTAACAGTAACAGACTGTCAAAGGTTTCGTCTCTTGAAAAAATGTAGTTAAAATAAATACAGTTCCTGAAAACGTGACGTTGGTATTTTAAACTTTAAAGTATGCGCTTTGAGGCTTCACTACATAGTATAAAACAAAGTCGATTTCTCTGTCCCTATATCCCTATGTATGCTTAAATCTTTAAAACTACGCAACGGATTTTGATGCGGTTTTTTTTAATAGATAGAGTGATCGAAGAGGAAGGTTCATATGTATAATAACATCCATTAAATCGTGGAGAAATCAATAATAAATTAGTTTCCGAAACGAAGCGAGGGCGGGTCGCTAGTAAAGTATATTTTATATTAAAAAAAATGTGTGCGTGTACTAGTGTACACACGTAAGAAGTGAAACTTGTTTATGGCCTTATTTTTCGAAAAATGATCTACATGCAACTTTCTAGAAATTGGTTAAATAAAGTTAAATTAGATAAAGTTTAAACAAAAGGATTTTATTATCATAGACATGAATACAAAAAAGTTAAATTAGATAAAGTTTAAACAAAAGGATTTTATTATCATAGACAT